CAGTAGTGACCATGTCGTCACTTCAGAAACCGATTGATTAGAACCTACATCTGAATTTTTGTTGATTTGGGCCCTCCTGTACATGAAGTCGATCCTGGTCGAAGCATAGCAGTGTGGTAGGATCTGTGCCAGGGACTGTTTAGCGTTAATTTACGACAGTCCGAGTAATTGTGAGGGGATGGGTATGTTTCTGAATTGCTTTATATGTTTCCGCGGAGGGTGCCTTTCCATTTTGATGTTGGTCCAGATTTGCAGTTTCTAGTTTCTGCTACTCGTATGGCAGAATCTGATGAACTAGCGACGTTGGATCTTTGCTGATGATTTTGTAAATTATCGAAATTCATTGTTCCTTCTACACATACGGGATGTCTTGTAACTTTGAAAGTAAGAATGAGATTCATTACTTGATGACATCAACGAATCCATAAAGAATTGCGCAAATAGACACCACTGTCGAATTCTTTTGGACATCGCTCTTAGGATTTCGCTAAGATTTTGGTCAAGCTGTGGCCTTCATTCTTTACTCCTGCTTTAGTAAGGTACCTGGAGACCCAGAGAATTTAGAAACAAGGGAGTGATGCTTTAGATCTGTTGAGTGTAACTGTGTTTATAATAGTAAAAGTGTTTGTTTGCAGCTACGTCAAGAAAAGGCGGAATTGGCGGCTTCGCTGCAACAAGAACAGGAATCGCTTATCACCAAGCTGAACCGGAAGATCAAAAAGTTGGAGGCCGAAACTGCTGGCAAGCAGCAACACTTGGAGCAGCTGCGACGCGAAAAGGTCGAACTGGAAAACACGCTGGAACAGGAACAGGAAGCGCTGGTGAATCGCCTGTGGAAGCAGCTGGACAAAATCGAAGCCGAGAAAAGGTAAGGATTACTTGGCGCTTGTAGCTGTGGCATGTTCATTTTCCAGATGATTAAATCTCATGTTTTTCATTGTGATTTTTTATGTTTCGAATGTAATTAGTCAATTTAATCATTACGTATCGAGAGTGGGACACTTCATTTAGTGTTAATTCATTGGTCATACCACAGGTGCTAGTGTCACTTCTAGACATGGAGAGAATTTTTATAGTGAATCGTCATTTCACCTGCGAATAACTATGTTCGTACAGTTTCTCGTCTGTGGCCAATAATTCGCAACGATGATCATTTTGGCGCGGCATACAGCAAAGCCTTTGCGTAAAGAATGCTCAAGCTTGGAAAGGATCGCTTCACCGAGTTTAGTTTTTCGCTTCTCATGTTTGAGCCTATGGCATTTAATTTCACAGACCTTTTCGATTAATAGAGCAATCCTTTACAATATTGTTCTTCTTGTTGATAATACCCATTTGTCTTAGCATTAGCGTTATTACAGAGAACGGTTTGTGTCTGTCCATCTTGTGACCACACATTTAGTTCTGTTCAAAGCTGAGCATATTAACTTACATAGGTTTTTGCCATTTAACTTAATGAGCGTTTTCTTATCATGCAGCAACAAGTCCACTCTTTCGATACTCCGCCAATTGAGGAAGCTTCACGAACGGGTTAGAAAGCGTGACAGTATCAGTTTATAAGTAATCAAGACGTCCTGATCTACGGTCTGCTATCGGACCGTCTTCTATGTAGCTTGACATAAGGTTCAGCGCCTTGAGAGCCTGTCATGGCATTCTTATCACGTATCCAATTGGTCACAGTTGTATTCTGTGGTTCTGAAGCAGCTGCTTGCGAGCAATGATATACTGCATTGCCTTGTTCTGAATTTTGTCTGAACCGACAATCTTGTCGACATATATAACATAACTCATATCAGCAATACTGATAGTTTTCTCTTATTCGATGCCGATCTTCGATAGGTAATGCTGATCGTGCCCTGTTGAAAATTTGTATCTAAACAAACTAATGGAAATGCAATGTGCCTGTGTTGTTTTATTTTTTAAGTTATTGAAACTCGAAGGCAACTATGAACAGATCTTAATTTTGTTTTTGATTTTTCCGTTCTACGTTTTTCATAACGATGTTGTAGGAGTCTACAAGAGAAACTCGACCAGCCAGTTTCTGCCCCTCCGTCACCAATGGACATTACTCAGTCTTCCCAATCGTCCGCCAGGTCGCTCTCGGCGGACCCGATCATCCTGCTGAAGGACATTCAGCATTTGCGAAGCGAAGTCATGCGCCTTAAAGAGCAGCTGTCGAATGCAGAATCGGAACGTAAGCACTTTTCGCCTTTTCCTATAGACACATTTGCTCATCATACTTGCCAACATGTTCTGACTACGTGGAATACCCCGTAATATTATCCAACAGCATATAACGTTATCGTTAACGTTAGGTTGCTTAACACTAAATATTACGTTGAAGTAGTATATATAAATGTTCAGATTATCTTTATTTAAGTAATTCGCTGTGTGCAACAGATCGTTAGACAGGGTTTAAACATTAGGGTGTAACTGCGGCAGATATTACACAACACTTGGAACACTATTGCCAAGGGGGAAAAAACTTAGTGTCAAGCTCAAGAACGTGGGTGAACGCGGACGAGCGTGGTCCACATATACAAACAAATCACCCGGAAGAAAACAAAGCCTCGCAATCAGCCAAGTCTACGATTCACTGCGAAAGGAGCTTTGAAATTTTGCAGTGTCCGAAACGCACACATCCTTACACAGTGTACTGGCATCAAAAAGGAAACTGGCTCAGTAAGTGCTTAAACGATGCATTAATAATCGGGTTCAGCAACTATACAGATGGCGTGTGAGTGGATTTTAAGAGCCTTCTGGCGCATGCTGCCAGAAAACTCTTAAATGAGCAACACGAACCGAGAACTTGCCTTCCAGCTCAGCGCAATTAGCTTCTGCGGACAGCCACAGAAGGCTTACAACTAGCCAATAAACGACTTTATTTTGGATATGATCACCCTTCAGATACGGTCTGCAACGTCGGTATCCCATAAGAAAATATTTTGTGCTGGTTTTCGGTATGACTGCCAGCTAAGGAACCGAATATTCCGTCATCTGCATTTCGTTAATCTTCCTGTGTTGCTCTCTCTGCTTCCGGTTAATACTCTTGTGATTTCGGAAAACTATGAAGTGATATCAGAGGCCCAATATCAAAGCTTATTTTGAGTGCTTCGTACATTTTCTAGTTTATTATAACACACTATAGTGTATAATTGGAATATTGACTTAGCTAGAGTTCAGAGCTTATTGAAGTGCTTCATTGCTCGTAATTGTCTAGGGGTGTCACTCAGGTGAGCTACGTCCTCGCCAACATATGACAGTGCTGTAATTAAAACAGATATGTACTATAAACACCAGTTTTATCAATTATATAACTGTAGGTAGGTATTTATACTTTATTACTATTATTTATTACCATGTATTAATGCTTATACCGTATTACGAAGAAACAGTATAAATGTTTTACTGTTTTGACATGTAATAACAAAATAGTTAATACTGTGTAACATATTCATGCCGTTGTTGGTTTGCTACAGTACTGATGATGTCATGGTAAATGTTAAGATATTTGTCCAAAAATTGGCTAACGTTTCTTACACGCTGTTTGCTTATAGAATGAAGAGCTAACGGGTTTACCGGTGAAAT